AAGTAAGCCAATTGATGTTATGGGTAGAAATGTATTCCTCAAAAAGATATGTTGAAGTCCTGATTCTCAGCAACTCAGCGTGTGGCCTTATTTTGAAATAGGGTAATTGCAGGCAGAATCAATAAGGTCATATTTGAGGAGGGTGGATTCTTAGTCCAAGATGATTGGTGTCCTTATAAAGACACAGGAGAGGAAAAGTCATATGATGGTGGCGGCAGAGATTGAAGTGCTCTAGCTGCAAGCCAAGGAATGACAAGAATTGCTGGCAAACTGTGGGAACCAGGAAGAGACAAGGAAGGATTCTCCTCTGTAGGTTTCAGAGGGAACAAGGCCATGCTGATAATTTGATTTGGGCCTCTAGCCTCCAGAACTCTGGGACAAAAAGTTTTTGCTTTCTCTTATTTTTTTAAGGATTTTTATTTTATTTATTTATGCATATAAGAGCTGGAGTGTGTCAGCCAGAGGTGCAGGGGAGGAGGTGGGTGAGAGGATTCACCAGAGAGAGAGTGGGGAACAGAACAGGCAGACCTACTGAAATACACTGCTGAGAGGAGCAGCGGGTGACAGGAGAGGTCTGCTGCGCCTTGCGAGTAGCTCCCTGGCTGGGGATGGGGATTGAACTGTACTGCAGTGGTGGCTGCTGATTACTTCATAGGCTGAGACTTAACCCGTTGTGCCACAAAGGAGGCCAAAAAAAGAAAAATGTTTGCTATTTTAAGGCACCTAGTTTGTGACACTTTATTACAATAGTTGTAGGAAATTCGTACAACTGATTTTAAGACGTGTTATTCATTCTTTATGGCCTCAGTTTCACTAGCACGTCTCTGGGTTGGATTTCTTTTTCTCTTGCTTCGTATTCTTAGTGATTTCTGATCTGTGGATCTTTTACTGATTGGGAAGGCCTCATTGATTGTATGAATATAGACTCATCTGCATTCTCTCAATTCTCTTTCTGGGACTCAATAGATTTAAATTAGGTTAACAAACTTAACTCTGGTAACTTCTGTCATATTTTCATCTCCTCTTTCTGTGCTGCATTTTAGGTAGTTTTTTCAGCGCTATCTTATACTGCACTTGCTCTTTAGAAGCATCCAATATTTCTGTTTTTAAATTTTGATAATTTTTAAAAAGAGCTTGTGGCAGAGATTGATCTCAACAGCCATTTTCCCCTTTTGTAATTGAATTTCATAATTTTAACTGGGTAAATGACCATCCAGAATAAAGGCTATCTCCAATCCAATTTACCCTTCAGCAAGAATGACCACCTACTAAGCTTTTACTTAGGGATATAGGCAGAAGTGGTATGAACAATTTTAAGGAAGTTTCTTTATTTTTTTTTAAAAAAGATTTATTTATGCGTACAAGAACTGGGGTACAGGCTAGAGGTGTGTGTGTGGGGGTGTGAGGATCCACCAGAGACAGAGTAGGGAACAGAACAGGCAGACTAAAATACACTGCTGAGGGGATCAGCAGGCAAGTCAGGAGAGGTCTGCTGCTCCATCCGGGTACCTCCCTGGCTGGGATGGAACTGGTACTGCAGTGGCTGTGGATAGCTTCATAGGTTGTGTCTTAACTCCATGCGCCACCAGGGAGGCCCTTAAGGAAGATTGTTAAAGGTAAGGACATATCAATTCTCCCTCTTTTTTTTTCTACTTTCCTCTGCTCCAGGAAGAGTGTCCTTCCTCACACCACAATAGTGGCTCTTTCCATATGACTTGCTTTGGTTAATGAAATGTGGGTACACAGGACATGTGACACATCTGAGCAGAAGTCTCAAACGTTTTTGTGGATGAGCTTGGGTGCTGGCCTCCAACCACGAGAAAAATATAGCCCAGGTAACTACTGTGCCTTTAGTCTGCGTCCTTGAATGGGAGACCTATGGCTCTGACGTGAATTGTCTTGCATCTAGAGCATGACTACAGTGGCTGACTATACTTCTTGACCATCTATCTGTATGACTACTTTGGCAAAATGTCTAGTTTCTCTGTCCATTTTTTAATGGTTGTTTATTTTTTGCTGTTGAGTTGTAGGGGTTCTTTATATATTTTTGGCTATTAAGCCATTATTAGATATATAATTTGCATATGAATTAGGTGTTTTTTCCTAGTTCTATGAAGTTTCTGTTTCCTCTATGGTCACATTTTCTATTAATTTCTCTCCACTCCCGCCCTCATGTTGGAGGCCTCCTTTACATATCTAGTAATCCTTGGTGGCCCATTAGTATTTAAGATGAGGCAGTTGGAATGCTGATTAGAAATCTTTTGAACTGGAGGCTCTGGCTAACTTGTTTAGCTCTAGGATGAATGGGTAGGAAACCTGCTATTGTGCCAGAATGAAGAACGGTTTTTTCTTACTCATTAAAATCTCAGTTAGCTTCCCAAGCTCTCCCCAGAGATTGGGAACTTTTGATTTTTAGTGTGCAATAACTGCCTAGCTATTGTACTTGACATATAGCAATTGTTCTGCTGTTCCATATACAGGTCTATATTTAGTCTACAGGTTTTCTGCTGTGCTTTTCACTCACTCTGTAAATTTCAGTCTCTCTTTTTTTAAAAAAGATTTATTTATTTTACAAGAACCAGGGTACAGGCCAGAGGTGGGGGTGTGTGAACGGATTCACCAGAGACAGAGAGGGAAACAGAACAGGTAGACTGATGAAATACACTGCTGAGGGGAGCAGCAGGCGAGGCAGGAGAGGTCTGCCATGCCATGTGGGACCCTCACCGGCCGGCAGGGATAGAACCGGCGCTGCAGAGGCTGCGGACAGCTTCACAGTGCAGCGCTCAACTGCCTGGGCCACCAGGGCAGGCCCTGTAAATTTCAGTCTCTTTAAATCACTTCTGGCAGGTAGGTGCAGAATAAGGTGCAGCACCCCATGCACCTTATTCCACATTATAATTTTCTCTTTTTCAATCAGATTGCACTCACTTTCTGGGTGTAAAATTAAAAAAAACTTTTGCTAGCCTCCTTTCCATTTCTATTTTTCATGTGAACTTACAAAGAAGAGGCAAAAAATGCATGTGTTCAGTTACCCAGTTTTAATAAACAAAAATCCTAAATGCAGGTTTTAAAAATGGCATCTGGGTAGAGAAAATAGGAAAAAACAAACCAGTAGGATGGCAAAAGAAAAAAAAAATCAGTATCTGTGATGTTAGTATTCCTGGTATGTATAATTTAGTACCTTGTGTATTAATTACCTCTCCAGTTCCACACCTTTTAGGGACACGATGAAACTCAAACATCCAGTTCATATTCTGTTTTGCAGTTCAACAAATGGGACCTGAAAATAACGTGGTGTATTCAAGGTCACACAAACAGAGTGGCAGAATGGAGGTTATAAAAATATAACTCCCAGGGTACTTGTTCTTCACCACACTGCTGGGGACTAACAGGATGAGTCTATCAGCAGTTAGACGGGAAAGAGCTTGAGAAACAGTGAACAAAGGATGACTTTGGACATACCGAGATGTCCAAAAAACTGAACTATTTTAGGGTGCCTGTTTGGCAGCTATCTAGCTCTCAGGCAGCACAGTCTAACAACTGGTAGCCATATGGTGAATGTACTGAAGGGGGCGACTGTACAGCAGGACCGGGAACTGCAGAGATCCAAAGATCGTGATGCGGGAGGGAACAGAGAGCTGGGGCAGGATGCTAATTTCAATTTCACAGAATTTGGTGAATGAATGGATATGAATACTGAGCAGAGACGGTAAAATGTTAGTAGACTTCGGAGGGAATGTGCGCTGGGTCATTGTGGTGGTGGAGGGGGGTAAAATGACTCCACTCCTAGTGCAGGGTATTTAACATCATTTTAAGGAAGGCTAAGTCAAAGCTGGGAATAAATAGGATTCCTACCCCTCTTCCTTCTGGGTCTAGGACCAGCTGGCTGACCCGCTGAAGTCACTGGATGCAGTTACCCTCCTCGCATAGCTCCCACCAAAGTCGCCTGCGGCTCAGGGCTAGAAAACTGGGGCGCCTGAAAGAAGGTACCGGTGGCCGCGCCTGGCAGGAGCAGGACTGAGGGGGAGTTAACGCCGCACAGAATCTGGGCGTCGCAGGCACCGACTGCGAACCTGCGTTTCCGCCCACGCCGTCATCCCCGGGAACCCCCAAGCACCAACTGCACAGGCGCGGGTCCCCCGGCCCCCCTCAGGTCGGGGCCAGCCCGCAGGCCTGCACCCCTTCCCCCCTCCGCGGCCGCGCGGGGCAAAGGCTCAGGGTCGGGGCGCGCATCCCACCTCCCCGGGCAGGGGCCGCCCACTGCGGCCGCGCGCGAGCCCCGACCACTCTCGAGCGGCGCTCTCGGGCGCCGGGGCGGGTGCAGCGGGGCTCCGCGCAGGAGGGGGCCAGGCCTGGGGGAGCCGCGGCTCCGCTCCCCGGCGCCCCGCTGCCGGCGCCCGGCCGTCCGCGCCCTACGGCGAGCGGGCGGGGACAGACGCCGCCCCGCCGCCTGCCCGAGCCGGCCGGGCCCCGCTCCGCGCGTGTGCGTGTGTGCGAGTGTGTACGTGTGCACGCCGGCGCCCGTTACTCCGCGGCGGCGCCGAGGTACGCCCGGCGGTCGAGGCGTTCCCGCTCCCCGGCCCTGACTCAGCCTCCCCGGGAAGGCGCCGCCGCCCGCGCCGCCAGAGGCCTGCGGGAGAGCGAGCGGGGTCGGGGGGCGGGGCCGCGGCGTCTCGGGCCAGGGGCCGGGGGCGGGGCGAGGTGACGTCAGCGGGGCGGAGTTCGCGGCGACTCGGGCCAGGGGCCGGGGGCGGGGCGCGATGACGTCGGCGGGGCGGAGCTCGCGGCGACTCGGGCCAGGGGCCGGGGGCGGGGCTGGGTGGCTCTCTCAGGGGCGGGGCGGGATGACGTCGGCGGGCGCCGGGCCGGGCCGTGGCGGCGGTAGTGGTGGCGGCGCCCAGGCGGCAGCGGCAGCCCCGAGGCGGGTGAGCCGGCCCTGGAGGCGGCAGCTCGGAAGCCGCGCGGGATCCAGCGCTCCCCGCCGGCCGCGGAGGCTGCGGCGCTCGCCCTTTCCAGCCCGATCTCGCCCTCGGCCCGGGCGCGGGCAGGGCAGGCGCCCCCGGGGAGGCGGAGCGGTAGGTGAGGCTCGGGACCCCTCCCCCTCCGCGCCCGCCGGGGGGATGGGCGGTCCGGGGAGGGGCGACCCCACCCTGTCCCCCGCTGCCCCCGGCGGGCTCCACCCAGCCCCCCGGGGTTGGGCGGGAGGCGAGGGGTAGGTGCGGGGTCCGCGCGGGGGTGGGGCGGGGCGCGGGGCGCGCGGGGGGCGGGAGGTTCTCGGGGCGCGATGTTGCGGGCGAGGTGGTGGCGAGAGGGAGACCTCGGGGAGCCACGAGGAGGTTGGGGTGCGGCCGCGGTGGATCCGCGGGTGTAGGTGGCTGATAGAAAATATTGAACGACATGAGGATTTTTTCCCTTCTGTAAAATGGTGAGTGGGGGTGCAGGCTTGGGGTTGCATTTCCCAGGAGACGAGCTGGGGCCGCTGCCTTGGAGCCATTTGGAGAAGCTGTTGCACCAGATCGCACCTTTCCACTCGAGGGCTTTGGCTATTTTCTTTTTTTTTTTTTCCCCCTAACTGGCGGCGTGGGGAGAGGTCGGGAAGGAAGGAGGACATCTCTGTCTTTGGCTCCGGCTGGGTGAGATTGTGAGCGTGGATGGATTTGGAGTCTCATCCCCAAGAAGAGTGAAATCTTGGGTGAAGACAACTTCATTGTGGCACCACTACTTCGGCGAGCAGGTCTCGTTACATTTAGGTCCTTAAAGGTGTTATCTTCCCGTTTTATTTCTGTGCCTAAAAGATCCCTTTAGAGCATTACCAGCCTTATCCTGGCCCCTTAAGAGAAGGCCTGACAATCAGGTGGTTGCTTTGGAAGACACTTTTCTAAGGGATGGTTGCAGGTGGTTGTGGTTGACAGCTTTGGATGGATGAAACGAACAATTTTAACAGTTCTTTGGTAGCTAATTAAATGAAAAAGACTTAAATGTCTGTTGCACAGGTGTCTTACAGTTTGTTTTTCATTAGACCTTGACATTTGCACATTTTGTGCTCAGTTGTTAGAGATCGCTTTTCAGTGGCAGATGCCTTTATTAGACACTTTAAAAATGAAGTGAACTATGTACGAATTTATTTTTCAGTAGGCGCCCCAATTTCTGAGCTATATTCTTGGAGTCAAGCTTTAAAAATGCTCTTTAATAAAATTTTGGGGCACGTGTCTCACTTCATAGCGAGATGTTAGTAAGACTAAACAGTGTTTAATGTTCTCATTAATGTTTCACTACTTAGCACATTCAATCAAAATCTTTTCTGGATTCCTGCTCCCTATTAGGTTACAGTGTACCTTGACCTTACTGATCAGTGTCATTTAAACTATTTCTTGATCTGAAAACAGGTCCTGTGATGGACATGCATTATGTAATGGATGGGAGTAGGGATGGTTCTCAATAATTCATTTATGGAGGAAGAGAAACCGTCATGAAATGGAATTTAAGCAGTGACTTGGGATCCCAGGACTTACTCAGTGTATTTGGGAGCATGGCCAGAGAAGTGCTTTCCTGTAACCCAAGAGAGAAATATACATGTGTGTCAGTTTCAGATCCTAGACTTTTTTTCACGTGCCTACTTAATGAGCAGGATATTACCTTGTAGCAAATATTTCTGCTTGAAGAAACTTAAAGGAACAGATGCTATAATAGCTCCTGAGCAAGAAAGGGTGTGGTCCAATTTGTAATTATAAGGAAGATTTAATCACTCAGATCAGATTATAAACTGGTACAATGAATAGTTGTGATTTGGGATTAGTTATGTAGAAGAAAAAATTAAAATTCACATTCACCTTGGTCTTTAAATTACACTTTGATTTAGTTGGGTAACATGGGGACAGAGGTGAACTAAGATAACTGAGTGAATCTATATATTGCTAAAATGACATTTATATGACAGTGGGACCTGAGTCTTTGTATTGTAGGAGTGAAATCAGATGATTTGAAGGAAAGTATGAGAAATGATCTACCTCTGTTTAGAATAGAGGCATGCTTCTTGTTTGTTTGATACATGCACTGGGTACAGTCAGAAGCGCGAGAGGGCGAGAGAATTCACCAGAGCCAGAGCGGGGAGCAGAGCAGGCAGAAGGACCGAAGTATACTGCTTCTGCGCGCCATGTGGGACCCTATCTCACTGGCAGCTTTCAAATAGAATTTCTTATGTATGAAGAAATAGTCCTTTTTTTATTTCAAGAAATGATTTTTACTAGCCTTTACAGTGATATTCTTGTTGAATCTCTCAGGTTTTTTTTTTTTTAATTCATTACTGAAAATCATTGATAAATATGTCAGTCTGTTAATTCAACATTAATACTGGAAACAATAGTGAAGGTTCTCATAGTAATGACTGCTCTTTCTCTACCATTATGCTTTTGGAAGTAGTTTGAAGAGCTGTCATGTGTGTATCTCATATTTGTGTCAAGAACATTCATGGAGAAAGGTCAGGAAATGAAGTATTTTGGTTAATCAAATAATAATCAGTAAAATGTTTCTCAAATTTCAGAGAAACCTAATGAAGTAAATTTGTCATATGGGTTACATAAAATATAATTTAATTCTCTGGCTCTTCAACATCTGAGCCTTGGGACACTAATTCATTCAATTATTCATTCAACAGTTATTTATTGAGTATGGTTCTGGATACTTTTTTAGCTACAGGGGATACAGCCGTGACTAAAGCTGACAAAAAAATCTTTATCTTCATGGAATTTACCTTCTTGATACACTAGGGAAATGAAGAGGAATCCAGCACAGAAGACTGATCAGAAGTGTTTGGTTTAGGAAAACGAGGGGAGCGTGAGGTACTAGACGTGAATGAAAGGAAGTTTTCAGGGAGGAGGGAATAATCAGCTATGTCTTTGTTTAAAGATGTGTCATCCTGTTGGGTAAGAGAAAAAATTGCTCTATTATGATGTCTAACAGCAGAGAAATGACTAACTGCTTTTTAATGTGAGATACAAGAATCAGTTTTTAACTGATTCTCTGGATTGATTTTTTTTTTAAAAAAGATTATTTATTTATGCATACAAGAACTGGGGTACAGGTCAGAGGTGTGGAGGGTGAGAGGATTCACCAGAGTGGTGAGCAGAACAGGCAGATTGAGTGAAAACACTGCTAAGGGGAGCAGTGGGTGAGACAAGAGAGGTCTGCTGCGCTATGTGGGTAGCTCCCTGGCGGGCCAGGGATGGAACTTGTGCTGCTGAGACTGCGATAGCTTCATAGTGCTGTGCTTAACCCCTTGCGCCACCCGGGAGGCCCTCTGGATTGATTTTTTAAAAATGTATTTCATTATTCTTTTCAGAACAAAGTAGACAAGCTGGGGGTGTATATTTGTCGTAAGGATGGTTATTACTCTTATTTATACTTATTTTTTTAAAAATAGGTAATACATGTCCCAAATCAGAAGGTATAAAAAAGTACAGAGGGAAAATAGCTGTTCCCCTGTTCCGGCAAGTTATTCCTGAAGGCCATCTCTTGTTTCCGATGTCTTGTTTCTCCTAACAAGTGAAATTTTGTGCAATAATATGGGATTTAACTTTTAAAATTTCATTAATATAGCAAGAATTTTATCTTTTAGGCTTTTTTTTTAAAAACAGGCTAAATATTTGTCTTAATTTAACTACCTGCAGACATAGTTTTAATAGCTTAATGTAGCTATATCGCGTATTTTACAATCCCTCCATTTAAAGTATATAATTCAATTTTTAAAGTTGTATTCACAAAGTTGTGCAACCATCCTTACCTCCATCAACTTTAGAATTTTTTTACTATCCCCAAAACAAGTCCCAGACCCATGAGTACTCATTCCATTGACTTTAGTTTTTAAGTATTATTTAAGTATGTATTACTGATTTTTTTGTTTGTTACCAACTAGATGACGGTGTAGCCTTTAATTTGTGCTTTTAATAGATTTTCATAAAAGTGAAGTTAAGTAATGTTTTTATTTGGTTGTATGAATGTTTGTGAAATGATTTTTTTATTTAAGCATCTTGTTCTCATTATTCCTTCATTTATCAAACGTTTATTGCATACCTTTTGTGTTTCAAGTCCTGGGTTAAGCCAGATGGATTCCATGAGAAATAAGGTACAGGGTTGCTTATTGTTAGGGAGTGTCATTTTAGTGGAAGAGGAAGAAAAGTTAACAGCAGTTTGTAGTGTGCTGTGATAAGATCTTCAGTGATTCCATACCTCAGCTCATAGGATGACACTAAACTGAGTTGTGGGAAGATCTAGGATGAGGTCCTAAAGATAAGTAGGATATGGCCAAATAAAAAGGATGCAACCAGAGGGAAGAGGAGTAGCATATGCAGAACCCAAAGGCAAGAAGGATCTGAAAATAGTTGCATCTGGCTGGTTGAGTGCTAAAGTAAGGTGCTGATAAAACTCCTCCTTTTTCTTAGCTGTGCTGTCTTAAAGATAAAAATAGTTACATTATTAATTTGCTTAAACTCCACAGATTGCTATTACTTCCTGTTTAACTTTGGAGGAATTAGTGTTTTTGTCTCAAACAATTTTCTCATCTCATGTAAAATGCGAATAACAATCCTACCTCGTGATTATTGTGAAAGATAAATGAGATGTTACTTATAAAACTTTCAATAAAGTGCTTTGAATAGTAATTACACAATAAAAATCAGCTGATCTGATAATGATGCTGGGGTGGTGGTGGTGGTGGTGTTTGCGATGCTGACGGTGCCTAGTTTATGGACCCTCTTAGCGTTGTCAAGCCCCAGATAATTCTCAGGAGACTGGAAAATAACATCTGTCATTTTAACTTTTTTCCTGGGAGGAAGGAAGTGAATACCAAAAGCTTTAGACCAGTACTGTCCAAAGTACTTTCTGTGGCGGTAAAAATGGTCTGTCTCTTCACCATCCACTGCTGTAGCCACTAGTCGCGTGTGCCTTTTTAAAACATTTGAAATGTTGGTAGTGTTACTGACAAACCGAATTGTTCATCTTATGAAAGTTAATTTAAGTAGCCACTTGTGACTAGTGGGCACTGCATTGGGCAGCACAGTTAGTTACACACTTATAGACAGATG